AGAAAAACCCCCATCGAAAGCTGATTATTTTCTACTCTAAGAATCCAGCAGAATACAAATGAGCAATAGTGTGCCAAACACGTCGTAGAAACAAGAAAGTCATAATTATTATTATAGCCAAGCTGAGCGACTGACAGATCGTGATAAGAACCGGGACAATGTGTGCGCACCTATCCTGCAGCCACCTCGGTAGTATCTCTACTTTCACACCTTGCGTGAAGACAAATCCTTCGTTTTTCGCATTCTTCAAGCTTTCTCGCGTGTGTCATCTTGCTCCTCGTTTGCGCAATACGCCACAAGGTATCTCTTTGTGTGGTAAGCTTCTCTTGCCCTCTAACAAACAGCAACAATAGCAACAGCAGTAGCAATAACAACAACAACAGCAACAAAACAACAAGAACAACTACAAAAACAACAACAACAAAAACAGCAGCAACAACAACAGCAGCAGCAGAAACAACAACAACACCAACAGCAACAACAACAATATTAACAACAACAACAACAACAACAACAACAGCAACAACAACAACAGCAACAACAACATCATCATCATTAAGAATAACAACATTAACAACAACAATAAACATCAACAACATTAAGAACAACATCAACAACAACCACGACAACAACAAAAACAACAAAGACAACACGCACAATAACGAATAAACATCAACAACATTAAGAACAACATCAACAACAACCACGACAACAACAAAAACAACAAAGACAACACGCACAATAACGAATAAACAAACAAGCCAACCAAAGTCCTTGTCCCAACCAACGAGACAAAATAAATGGAGCAGCAACAAACGCCCCCCCCACCCCCCACCCCCACACACACACTTTTCATCAGTTGGGTGGTTGCGGTCCTCCCATGATACCCTACATCCCACATTAAAGCTGGATCGATTTAATTGGATCAATGTTGGCTATGGTCCCAAGGACTAAATCAGTGGGCTCCTAACTCCGGTCTGGGTATTTCTTTCGCGGTATCTATCCGGAGACGTCTCCGACGGAGATGGACCAATCAAAATGCTTTGTGCCTCTGGACCAATTAAAACATCTCGGGAGTTACAGGGGGCTCGTTTTAACCCGTACTTTGATATTTTGTAGCTAGGTTTGAAATTTTCTAGAAAAAAAAATTGATTTGCGACAGTTTTAGTGGCTATGTGTGTGATCTACAACAAACAATACGCAGTCTGACCCCCCCCCCCAAAAAAAAAAAAAAAAAAAAAGCAGTGCATCTGTGTGCGGGGGTAAGTCTCCGAATAGCTCCTGGGTGCTTGCCGGAGACGTTCGTCTCCGAATATATCTTCTGTCATTTCTTTAGTAACTGTTGAGGTACGGTAGCGTATCGATCGTAGAGCTCGAGGAATTACTCATTCTTCAGTTGACGTGGAATTGCCCTTGCTGTAGCTTTTAAAATAATGCTCAAAATGTGGCAAGCTCTTCTCTGCAGGATTGGTATAATTAATTTGGTCTTAGCAGACGCTACAAATCATCTTAATCCAAGTTATTTCTTCTATTTCCTTTTTTTTTGGTTTGTCGAAATGATCTCCTCTGCAGGCGCACTAGTCATAGTCAGAAATTGACAGAAAAACTGTTGAGTTGATATTATTATTATTATTATTATTATTA